AGGGAACATAATTTGATTGGAGAAGTACAAACAGTTAATAAAGGGAATGGGAAATAAGTTACTATGGACAACCTTTTCTCCATAACATATATCCCAAATGGAACTTAGTGATATTGGTGAGTCATTGCCCCACAATACAAGTTACGGTCCCCACCGCTTTCTACATGAGTGGAGAAATAGAAACAAACTAAAACCTATGGTGAGAGACACAAATGAAAGAGAAAAAAAGCAGGAAAGATAGTGAATCAACTAGGCTGAGGAAAAATACACAAGAGTGGGACTATTATTTCTGACTTATCATGTAATCATATGGATTTTTTTTTCTTTATTCATTAATGGGATGAGGGCATCGCTGGCAAGGCAGCATTTATTGCCCATCCCTAATTACTCAGAGGGCAATTCAGAGTCAACCGCATTACCATCAGTCTGGAGTCACATGTAGGCCAGACCAGGTGAGGATGGCAGTTTCCTTCCCTAAAGGAAAAAACCAGATGGGTTTTTCCAACAATCGACAGTGGATTCATGGTCATCATTAGATTCTTAATTCCAGATATTTTTTATTGAATTCAAATCTACCATGGCGGGGTTTGAACCCGGGTCCCCAGAATGTTATCTGGGTCTCTGGATTAACAGTCCAGTGATAATACCATTAGGCCATCACCTCCCTATTAAAATGCTGTTCTTGAAAGCATATCTCTTACTTCCTAAAATACTCACTTTTTTCCCCATCATTTATACCCGTAATTCTTCTGGTCACTTTAATACTCCCTTCCTTTAATGGTGTACTTCTTATATTTACTTTTTATTCGCCCAGTTTTCCCATGAGACTTTTTTAAAATTCACTCATAGGATGTGGGTATCACCTCAGCCAGCATTTATTGCTCATCACGAGTTGCCCTTGGGAAGTGGTGGTGAGCTGCCTTCAGGTTACTGCTGCTGTCCATGTGCTATAGGTAGAGTCACAATGCCATCAGGCAGCGAATTCCAGGATTTTTTACCCAGTGACGGTGACATCAATATATTTCCAAGTCAGGATGGTGAGTAGCTTAGAGGCGAACTTGCAAGTAGTAGCGTTCCCATGTACCTGCTGCCCTTGTCCTTCTAGATGGAAGTGGTCATGGGCTGCACTCACCCAGAAAAGCAGTGCATATTCCATCATACTTCAGACCTATGTCTTGAAGATGGTGGACAAGCTTTGGGGAGTCAGGTGAGCTACTCACTGCAGTATTTCTAATCTCTGACTTGCTCCTGTAGCCACTGTGTTTATGTGGTGAATCCATGTCAATTTCTGGTCAATGGTAACATCCATGATGTTTTTAGTGGGGGAATTCAGTGATGGCAATGTAATTGAATGTTGAGGGATGGTAGTTAGATTGTGTCCAATTGGAGATGGTCATTGCATGGCATTTGTATAGTACAAATGGCTGTGGTTAGCACTGCTGCCACACAGCGCCAGGGACCTGGGTTTGATTCCAGCCTCTGATGACTGTTTGTGTGAAGTTTGCACATTCTCCCCGCTTTTTTGTGGGTTTCCTCTGGGTACTCCAGTTTCCTCCCACAGTCCAAAGATGTCCATGTTAGGTGGATTGGCCATGCTAAATTGCCAATAGTGTCCAGGGATGCGCAGGCTTGATGGGTTAGATATGGGAAATGCACGGTTACAGGGAGAGGGTGGGTCTTGGCGGGATGCTGTTTGGAAAGTCAGCGTGAACTTGACAGGCTGAATGGCCTGCTTCCACACGCTAGGGATTCTATGATTCTATGAATGTTAGTTTCCACTTTTCAGCCTAAACTTGGATATTATCCAGATCTTGTTGCATTTGGATATGCACTGCTTCAATATCTGAGGTGCTGTGAATGGTGCTGAATCATTGGCGAACATCCCCACTTCTGACCTTAGGATGGAGGGAAGGTCATTGATGGAGTAGCTGAAGATAGTTGGGTCTAGGATATTAACCTAAGGCACTCCTGCAGAGATGTCCTGGAGCTGAAATGACTGACATCCAATCATCTGTCTATGTGCCTGGTATGATTCCAACCAGTGGAGAGTTTTCTCTCGATTCCTACTGACTCCAGTTTTTCTGGGGATCCTTGATGCAACACATAGTTAAATGTGCCTTGATATCAATGGCTGTCACTATCACTTCACCTCTGGAATTCAGTTCTTTTGTCCATGTTTGAAGCAAAACTGTACTGAGGTCAGGAGCCGAACGGTCCTGTGGGACCCAAACAGGGTATCACTGAGTAGGTTATTGCTGAGCAGGTGCTAATTGATAGCACTGTGAATGACACCTTTTCCATCACTGTTCTGATGATCGAGAGTAGACTGATGGGGGTGGTAGGTGGGTTGAATTTGTCCCACTTTTTGTGTACAGAACATAGCTGGGCAACTTTCCATATTGCCAAGTAGATGGCAGAGTTGTCATTGCATTGGAACAGCTTGGCTAGGTAAGCTGCATGTGCTGCAGCACAAGTCTTTGGTACTATTGCCAGAATGATGTCAGAGCCCATAACCCTTGCAATATCCAGTGTTTCTTGATATCATGTGGAGTGAATCAAATTAACTGAAGACTGGCATCTATGATGCTGGGACCTCTGGAGGAGGCCAAGATAGATCATGCACTTGTACTTCTGCCTGAAGACTGTTGCAAATACTTTAGCCTTACATTTTGCACTGGTGTACTGGTATATTTTCACTTTAAATAACTAGTTATAACAACTCCTAAACCACCCAAGTTACCTGAATCAAAATATATTACAAAGACATTTAGACATTTTTTTCCACATGTGTACACTGCTTATATATACCTGTTCAATGCCACAACTTTAATAGCAAATTATAATTATGAGATTAAAACAGATTGATTAACACAGTTAAATGCAGGAGTGAAGATGTTGCTAAGGTCTCTGCATTAGAAAGACAGGTACAGAAAAGAAAGCAGGAATTATTAAAAGAAAAGGGTAAGGAAACTGAATGTAAGATTCACTACATCTACGGTGCATTTCGCCTTTCCAAACAGTTCCCCATGTGGACAGGCACACAGAATTCATCCAAAACTTAGAAGTTTATAAAATAATGAGAGGCATAGATAAGGTAAATAGCAAGGATCTTTTCCCTGGAATGGAGCGTTCAAAACTAGACGGCATATTTTTAAGGTGAGAGAAGAAAGATTTAAAAAGGCCAAGAGGGACGACCTTTTTTTTTTTTTTTTACACAGAGTGGTTCGTATGTGGAATGAACTGCCAGAGGAAGTGGTAGATGCAGGTACAGTCACAATATTTAAAATACATTTGAGTAAGTACAAGTACATGAACAGGAAAGATTTGGAGGAATTTCCATGCTATATGACTTTATAACTCTACAACCAAAAGTCAAATACAAAAGCAAAACATGGCAGAAGCTGGAAGTCTAAGATAAAATCAGAAAATGCTTGAAAAGCTCAACTGGTCTGACAAAAGTTTCAACAAGAAAAAGTTAGTGTCTTAGGTTGATGATCTATCATCAACCATTCTGTTGGAAGGTTATCAACTTGAAACGTTAAATGTTTCTCTCTCCACAGGTATCACCACTGCTGTTAAGTACTCCAAACAAAGCTCAAAGAAAGGAAGCTACATGTACATCCAGATTCAGAGTTCACATAATTATTCCCATTATGTAACCCTCCGAAGTATTTGAACACAGGGAGACCACATGTTGCACTGTCTCGTTAATGCATCATAATGCAATTATCAGTACAGGAGTAGATCAATATGGTTTTGAGGTAAGTAGTTGAAAGTCACAGGTTTAATCTCTTCTTCATTCTATACTCATTCACAGGATGACAGAGTCGTTGGCGAGGCAGCATTCATTGCCCATCCCTAATTTTGATATCATTTATTTGTGCAGTAGGAATTGTACTTTTAGTAAGATTTTCCTTCAGTCTTTTCAATGTTTTGATTGGAGATGGGAAGAAGTGCTTAATAGAGATTTACTCTCTCTTAAGTAAGTTATTACAAATTATAATGACTTGAATTGTTCTAAGATTACAAGATAAAAAAGTATACTTGTTAACCTTTAGAGTATTTTATTCCCCTAAAGAAGTACACAATACAAATTGACTTACTGCAAAATAGCAAAGATCTGATCATGGTTCCATAGCTTAAACATGAAACTGCAATATTCTTTATTTCTCAGACGTTAATGAAATTGCTGTTTATTTCTATTTTAAGTGCAATATCAATGGACAGGACGTTTCGGATGGCAGGGTTTCCCGCTCTGTCACTCACCAAGTTTTGGCAGGAATCACGGCAGCCTTACAGCTATTTAATACTTCATTGCACTTCCATTTGTCACTCTGACAAAAGTCCTGCCTCAGAGAGCTGCCTGCCAATGTGACTCACAAGCAGCTCTGTGATGTCTGCAGCAGTGACCTGGACTGTGAATACAAGCAGTTCCCAAATTCAAAGTCCAACAGTCCAGGGATCCGGTAAGTGCAGAGGTATCACAGTGGGGTGGAGAGGTGAGGCCTTGGGGTAGCGATCTTGATGGTGAAGCTGGAAGGGAAGGAGATTCTGGATGTGGAAAGGGAGCCTGTGAAGGAATCACCCTACCCCGTTTGTAGGCCCAAGGCCTGAACAGGTTATCATGCCTGTTTTCCTCTGCCCCAAACTCCTCCCAGAGCTTCAAATATTTAGGATGGGAGGGGCACTTAAGGGTCTCAACTGGGGTGAGAGTGGGCAGATGTGTCTGGTCTTTCCCGACACCATAAAACTACTGACAGGTTCGGGGTGTGTATGATGGTCACCTGGGAACTTCTATGGACCCTGCTGCCTGCAAGCTCACCAGCGCGGCCTGTCAACTTCTATCCTACACCTCCAAACATGGAGTTCAGTAAGACAGAACAAAAATGAGCATTGGGACCCTCAGTCATGTTCACAGTCTTCTGTGAAGCACTTAAAAACAAAAGTGCATTCATTATACAATGATATTAAAAAAAGGTAGAGGTAAATGATGGACTTACCATGATTGGTAGACTTTGTCTCTCATTCCTTGTCCAACTGAAAACATTTGGAGGTTTAATATTTGCATGGAAGACATCATTAATTATCTCTTAAACGAATCATTTCTTCTGAAAGGCAAAAGAAGTGGCCTGTGTCAGTTCTTTGAAAGTAAATAAATCTTAAAATCTAAAGACAAAGAAAAATTCAACTTCAAATTGGAAAAATAAAAAACAATAAATATGTTGAAGAACAGATTGTAAAAAACAAATATAAAAAGCAACAACTGTGCTCTTTAATGGCAGCATCCAGCATGTTAAACTGTGATTGCAAAACTAATTTTTCCTTCAGTGTTTTGCAATCAGTTCATATACTGCACACGTGAGATAAATATAGTGTAAAGCTACATAGCTATATGCTATTAGCTAGACTGCAGCATCTGTGATATTAGATCATATGGGATTAGGACCTGATTGAAGGTTCTCATTAAGTCCAGGTCAACTATTATATAATGATGTAGAGGTGCCAGTGTCAGACTGGGGTGCACAAGGTCAGACAACACCAGTTCATAGTCCTTCAGGTTTATTTGAAATCACAAGGTTTTGGAGCATTGCCCCTTCGTCAGGTGAAATGAGAGGGAAGCACCCAGGCACAGAACTTATAGGCAGGGAGAACAATGGGCAGAGAGATCAAATATTATACAAATGGTGTGTGGGGACAGGCTGAATAATAGGTCTCTGCAAGTGATCAAAATGTCATACAGTGTGAGTAAAGTATCAACAGCTGAAATAACAAGCTAAGGGATGACCTATAATCCGATTAAATGAGGCAGAGAGGTAATTACAAAAAATTAAAAGTAAGGTGGTGCTGGAGACAAACCAAATGACTGGAATAACGTAACAGGTATAAGAGTCGTGTGCCGAGGGTCTAACCACAATTGATAAGTAATGCAAAACCGTACAAACTAATCAAAGTAGACAGATCATAACAATTTATCAAGGTGATGGTGTCAAAACAGGACAGTAAGGAAGGTTTTACAGATACAGAACAGTATGTAGTGCAAATGAACCCAAAATCACAGTTGAGGCCGTCTTCATGGGTATGGAACTCGGCTATCAGTTTCTGCTCAGCGATTCTGCATTGTTGTGTACCTCAAAGGCTGCCTTGGAGGAGGCTTACCCGAAGATCAGAGGCTGAATGTCCTTGACTACTGAAGTGTTCCGCGACTGGGAGGGAACATTCCTGTCTGGCAATTGGTGCACTGTGTCCATTCATTCGTTGTCATGGCATTTGCATGATCTCACCAATATACCATACCTTGGGGCATCCTTCTCTGCAGCATATGAGATACACAACATTGGCCGAGTCACGTGAGTATCTGCTGTGCATGTGGTGGGCGGTGTTCCCACACATGATGGCAGTATCCAAGGCGGCCTTTGAGATACACAATAACGCAGAATCGCCAAGCAGAAATGGATAGCCAAGTTCCATACCCATGGCCTCAACCGTCATCTTGGGTTCACGTTGCGTTAAGTGACCCCACCACACTGTTCTGTATCTGTAAAATCTTCCTTACTGTCCTGTTTTGATCCAACCACCTTGATAAATTGTAATGATCTCTCTACCTTAATTAGTTCTTACAGTTTTGGATTACTTATCACTTTGGTTAGTCCCTCAGCATGTGACTCTTGTACCTATTACGTTATTTCAGTCATTTGGTTTGTCTCCAACACCACCTTATTTTTAATTTTTTGTAATTGACTCTCTGCCTCATTTAATCTGATTATAGGTCATCCCTTCGCTTATTATTCAGCTGTTGACACTTTGCACACACCGTCTGACACTCTTGATCACTGCAGAGACCTATTATTTGGCCTGTCCACTCGCACCACTTGTATGATTTTTTGATCTCTCTGCCTATAAATTCTGTGCCTGTGTGCTTCCCTCTCACTTCACCTGACAAAGGGCCAATGGTCCGAAAGCTTAATGATTTCAACTAAACTTGTTGGACTATAACCTGGTGTTGTCTAACTTCTGACCTTTACCACTATATAATGTAGATTTAAAAATGTTTGACTGTCTGTTGCACTAGCATGGGGTCCCATCCTTAACTGTCTAAAGCTAAGAAACTGTTCATGGTATTCGTACATTGTCTAGAAAGAGAAGGGAGCTAGGCGCATGAGGCCAAAATTGCTCTCAACCATATAGGGTAATCAGTTAATATCCTATTTTCAATTCAACCAATTGGTTAGTCTGCTCCTGACCCACTTGTCTTAAAATGACTGTTAAAAGTGAAATAAGGAAATAATTTAAAAAACGCACATAAGCAGTTAGGGTCTAGAATGCTCTGCCAGAATGTGTGTTGGAAGCAGCTTAACTCAATACAATCATTTGGGAATTACACAGTTATTTGAAAAGGAACACCATGCAGCTAATGAAGGAAAGGCTGGAGAATGCACAAAGTGAGATACTCCTTTGGAAAGATGGTGCAGGCAGAATAGACTGAATAGCCTCCTTGTGGTTGAATTCTAGCACGAAGAAAGGGTGGGATGGGTTTGAGATAACACGGTGTAGAGCTGGATGAACACAGCAGGCAAAGCAGCATCAGAAGAGCAGGAAAGCTGACGTTTCGGGTCGAGACCCTTCTTCAGAAATGGGGGTGGGGAAGGGGATTTTGAAATAAATAGGGAGAGGGGGGAGGCGGATAGAAGATGGATAAAGGAGAAGATAGGTGGAGAGGAGACAGACAGGTCAAAGAGGCGGGGTTGGAGCCAGTAAAGGTTTATGTAGGTGGGGAGTTAGGGAGGGGATAGGTCGGTCCAGGGAGGACGGACAGGTCAAGGAGGCGGGATGAGGCTAGTAGGTAGGAGGTGGGGGTGGGGCTTGAGGTGGGAGGAAGTGAGTAGTTCTACCAGAACGCAGATTGAGCTATGGTGAGCTGGCTATGGCTGCGTAAGTCATAGGGAGGCGGGGACGAGCTGGGCTGGTTTTGGGATGCGGTTGGGGGAGGGGAGATTTTGAAGCTTGTGAAGTCCACATTGATACCTTGGGCTGCAGGGTTCCCAAGCGAAATATGAGATGCTGTTCCTGCAGCTTTCGGGTGGCATCATTGTGGCAATGCAGGAGGCCCAGGACGGACATGTCGTCCAAGGAGTGGGAGGGGGAGTTGAAATGGTTTGCGACTGGGAGGTGCAGTTGTTTGTTGTGAACTGAGCGTAGGTATTCCGCAAAGCGGTCCCCAAGCCTCCGCTTGGTTTCCCCGATGTAGAGGAGGCCACAACGGGAACAGCGGATACAGTATACCACATTAGCAGATGTGCAGGTGAACATCTGTTTGATGTGGAAGGTCTTCTTAGGGCCTGGGATGGGGGTGAGGTGTAGGGGCAGGTGTAGCACTTGCTCCGGTTGCAGGGAAAAGTGCCGGGTGTGGTGGGGCTGGAGGGGAGTGTGGAGCTGACAAGGGAGTCATGGAGAGAGTGGTCCCTCCAGAAAGCAGATAAGGGTGGGGAGGGAAAAATGTCTTTGGTAGTGGGGTCAGATTGCAGATGGCGCAAATGTCAGAGGATGATGCGTTGGATGCAGAGGTTGGTGGGGTGATACATGAGGACGAGGGGGATTCTGTTTTGGTTGTTATTGCGGGGAGAGGGTGTGAGGGATGAGTTGCGGGAAATGCGAGAGACACGGTCGAGGGCATTTTCGACCACTGTGGAGAGGAAGTTGCTGTCCTTGAAAAACGAGGACATCTGGGATGTTCGGGAGTGGAATGCCTCAACTCGGGAGCAGGTGCGGCAGAGGCGAAGGAATTGGAAATAGGGGATGGCCTTTTTGCAGGAAGGTGGGTGAGAGGAGGTGTACTCTAGGTATCTGTGGGAGTTGGTAGGCTTGAAATGGATATCGGTTTCCAGGTGGATGCCAGAGATGGAGACAGAGAGGTCCAGGAAGGAGAGAGAGGTATCAGAGATGGGTTTGAGTCAGCTATCCAAGTTTGTAACATCTGAACCCCAATTGACTTACTGGTTTTACAGAGCTGGAACAGAAATGGCAGCCAATCCATTCTTTCACGGAGGGTTGGTAAATTAAACATTTTAATGAGGTTGCTGGTAGTCTCCAATTTGACCTGTTTTTCCAGTTTTACAGCATTATTTCCCAGACTACGGGTGTCAACGATAATGCTATACCTAACACTTACGCAGCCATAGCCAGCTCACCATAGTTCAATCTGGGTTCTGGTAGAACTACTCACTTCCAAATCTCATTCCAGCCTTGATCCAAATGTTTTTTTTTCTTTTACTGTTTGTTTAGGTGGCAGCATGTTTGTTTAGGGGGCAGCACGGTGGCTCAGTAGTTAGCTCTGCTGCCTCACAACATCAGAGTCCCGGGTTCGATTCTACCCTCGGGTGACTGTTTGGAATTTGCACGCTCTCTCTGTGTCTGCATGGGTTTCCTCCAGATGCTCCGGTTTCCTCTCTCAGTCCAAAGATGTGAAGACTAGGTGGATTGGCCATGCTAAATTGCCCGTAGTGTTCAGGGATGAGTGGTATAGGGGAATGCATTCTGGGTGGGATGCTCTGAGGGTTGGTGTGGACTTGTTGGGCCAAAGGGCCTGTTTCCACACTGTAGGGATTCTATGACCTATGATCTATGATCAAACGTGAACAAGAGCTGAGGTCCAGAGGTGAGTGAAAGTGACTGCACTTTGAACAAGTGGAGCACCAAGAAGCCCTCATAAAACTGAAGTTAATACCAATCAAGGGAATACTGTCCAATGGTTGGAGTCATAATTAATACAAAGGAAAACAGTTATGCTTGTTGGCTGTCAATTTCTTGGCTTTCAGGCCATCACTGGAGGAGTTTCTCAAGGAAGGATCCTAGCCTTAACGGTCTTCAGCTAACTCATCAATAAACTTCCATTCATAAGGTCAGAAATGGGCATGTCCTCAACTGATTGAACAGTGTTCAGTTCCACTGTAAATTGCTGTTACTAAAAGTAACATTCAGCCATGACTAACTTATCATTGTTCTCAAGCGTTTCCACCATCTACCACGCAAAAGTCAAGAATGCAACAGAAGTCTCCATTTGCTGAGCTGAGTTGCAGTCTGAGGAATACGCAGGGAATGCCACACTATTAAG